CTTTGATGGTTAAAAATCTTGAGCATCTTCCCTTTACTTTCCAGTTCAGAATCCACAATCCAAAGGGAGCTTTGGAATGATGCACAAAATCGTCCAATTCCTCCACTGCCTTTGGGCTGCTCACCCACTGCAGGCACTCAGGGCAAGAATTTGTCCTGGCAAAAGACAGGTCTATACAACAGCTGTCAGTTTTATGACAATTCACAGAACAGGCAGGTGAACGGGCCCAGTCAAAACTCAATAAACCAAATTCTTCATTAACACACATAGAGAAGGAAAAGAAATAGCCAAAAGCTGATAGAAATTAATTTAGTGAGGTTAAGATACCACAATTTATTCTGCTACATCAGAAACATTTATTTACATAATGAAACAGTACTGGAAAATGTTACAATGTAGTTGGTAGAAAAGGTGATCAAATTGCTGAGCAGCATTCCTGCAAAACACTGACCTGAACAAAAGCCAGTAAGATCTTTTTTTCATATAAAATCCCTCTAGTCAAAAAGACAGCAAAGCCCACAAGATACTGGTCAGTATGACAAACTTAACTTACTAAACAGAGACAAAGCTAAGCCTTTGGAAAGCTAAATCACAGCTAAAACTAGTGCTAATTACAAAAATGTAGCAAGGAAGTTTACTTGTGAAAATTTAATTACTTGGCCATGACAACCCCACAGATCTTTCTTGGGAGAGGACAAAATAGGGGTGTTAGCAATGGGTCTTTCATATCTGAAGGATGCCCTGACCTGTTACAAAATGTAAGTATGAAGGTGATAAACGCTTTAATAAATTCAGATTATTTATTGTCTAAAGAACAAATAATTGGAGGCAAAACTATCTTCATAAGGCCTGACACCTCTTCTGTACCATCTCAGTAGTGATGTGTCTCTTCCCCATCCTTTTAATGTTGAAGTGCTTATGCATTTAATATAGTTCTGAAAAAAACTACTTGAGGTAGATAAATATTATTTGGCAATTGAACCAAAGAAAAAGAAATGGAAGTCAAATTTTCATAGACTGGAAAAACTCTATGTTCCTTGTGGCTTCTGGATCTGGACCATGCCTGCTGGCTGGCTTTCAGTACTGGAATGGGAGGATGGTTTGGCTTTATACAGTGCTGATGAATATTCATTTCTATACCGTAGGTGCTTTTTGTTTTGGTTTGGTTTTTTCAGGTTTTGTTTGTATGCTGATACCATTTTTTCTTGGTATCCCCTCTTTGCATAGACTTTACCAGGACTGTGCTCTCTTGTTTTCATTTTGGTTTGAGTTCAATGTCCCTACTTGGCAGCAGTTTCAATTGAACTCAACCTCTTTCTCTTCTGAGCAGTACAATCTGTCCTGCAGCAAACAAAATTTCAGAGATGGCCAAAGACTGGTCACAAGGGAAAATCCCCAAACTGGGAAAATGCAATGAAAAGCCATATTTGATCACGTAAAGTTCATCTCAAATCCCAGAACTTCAGGACTACATTTTTCCTTCTGAAGAGCAAAGATTTCCTGCCAACATTCATAAGATACAATTTTGAAGAGAAAAACCTCTCTCTTCCTCAATATTACATAAAAGGTCATCACAGAAGGGATTCAGCACATCAATGCACTCTGAAAAAAGGATCAAGTTTGTAGTAACTGTTGCATACTATTGCCACACATAGAAAAAAAGTCTTCTAAGTCAGAACTGAAAACATCCCATGTGCTCAATGTGGTCTCCTGGAAAAGCCATGGCCTGTAAAACCACACATTGTAGCCCTATGTCCTATGTGCTACAAAACAGAACTTTGGTTGCTGCTACACAAATCCTGTTTGGAACAGAGAGGACAGACATAGGGGTAATATTTGCTAATTTGTTAGTAACTAATTTGGTATTAGTTTAGATTTAAGGAAAGATACTTTTTTTTCCTTCTCTACACAATGGAGTAGACACTCCAGGCATTAAGTGGACTTTGAATCACAGAATGGCTGAGGTGGGAAAGAACCTTCAAAGGTTTTCTGGTCCTGCTCAAGCAGGGTCACCTAGTGGTGGTTGCCCAGGGTCATGTCCAGTTGGGTTTTGAGTATCTCCAAGGATGGAGAATCCACAAACTACCTGCCTGGCCAGTGTGTGTCCATGCTCAGTCACCCTCACAGTAAAAATTCTTTCCTGATGTTCAGAGGAAATCTCTGTTTCAGTTTGTATCCATTGCCTCTGATTCTGTCACTGGACACCAGTGCATTCTCTTTGCACCCTCCCCTTCAGGCATTTATACACACTGATGAGATCCCTCTGAGCCTTGTTTTCTCAAAGATGAACAGTCACAGCCATCCCAGATCTGCTCCAGTACCTTTCACAATCTCAGTTGCCCTTTGCTGGACTCCATCCAGTAATTTCATTTCTCTTGTACTGGGAAGCACAGAACCAATCACAGAAAAAAAAAAAATTCAAATATTCCTTTCTAATAATTATTTCCTCAGCAGGTGTAAGGCAAATTTTTTCTACCATGGTCCAAAATGATGTTTTGGATCACCCTTTTTGCACATCCAGCCATCTACTTCCTTATTGGCAACCAACCCTACACAGAGGGAACACATCCCTCCCTTTCCCAGGACTGGAGATAGTCATGCCACTCTCTCAGGCAAAGTGCAGTGACCACTACTGAGGTACTAAGCCCACATGCTGACATTCAGGTGATGGCCTCAAGTTCAGGAGGACAGAGCAGGGAGGTCACCTGGGCTTGGCTGCAAAAAGCAGCTGCAGACAAGGGTGTTCACAGCTGAGCACGCCTGTCACTGTTCAGGATCATCCTCTGTCAGCCTGGCTGACTTGTAGCCCTATACTTGTAGCCCTAATACTACTGTTGCAACATCTAACCATGGTGTTAAGTCTTCTGGTTGATGGGAAGACCATCAATGCTACATTGCAAGCTGATGCCCAGATTCTTTTCCTGTCACTTAAATATTTTCAGCTTAAAAAGACTGAAATTTGGTGCTCAAGATTGCCCCACCTGGGACACAAGTGACCCTAGCAAGCTGCTCAGGCACTGTGTATGTGACCAGTGCCTGCCCCATCGCCTGCCTAAGCCCTACAGACACTGTTCGTTTTAAAGCTGAGAATAGCAGGCAGATGTTCTGGAGAACACAGTCTCTTCCCACAAGAAAGCACCAGCTAAGGGAGAAATGAAAATCACCTCTTCTGATGTGCAGAGCAGAGGGAAGCCAGCAATGTCTGTGTGCCCCTTGTCACAGCACGAGGCATCACTAAAAGCTACTGCCCTTCAGCAGCCCAAGGGAAGGGAGGCTTGGCTTCATTTGAGAGTGTATGTAGGTATGTGGCACTGCATAGTTTACACCTGTATCCTCCTCCCATCCTCCAATAATGCAATTCATAAAAATAGCTCAGATTTGTTATTCAGCAAGGAAAATGGAAGAAAAAAGGACCAGGCAACAGAGATCCCTTTTCATATGGATCTAGCAGACAAGAAATTGAGACTACTACTGTAACACAGCAGAAGAGAAGCTCTTAAGGGCATTGCAAAGGGATGAATTTTCCTTCCTGCCTCAGCTTCACTTGCAGTTTATATCGTTTTCTAAGCCCAAAGCAGTTTATCCTGAGAATGCAAGATAAGGAGATGTTTAGCTTCAATCTAGATAACACTGCAGGTCACTCAGTCAGAAAGAACAGCCAGGAAAATTCTGCAAAATGGTTTTGCGTACCCCACGTCCACACATAATCAACATTGAAACCGTGACTCCTTGGAAGACAAGTGGTGGGGAGTGGCCACGAGTTTATTGCAGAACCATCCAAACAAGTCATTCTCAAATGCAGTCTCCTTTGGAATCAGTTCTGCATCTTTGTTTGCACGTTACATGTTCAGAAGCAGGCACTGACCCAGGGGCAGATCCTCAGCATGCCAGCTCCACCACTCCATCAGTGTGAGCACAATTCATGCTGGAGTCCCAGACTTGGTGCCACTGCTGTCTCCTCAGGAACTGAGCACTAAGCAGCAATTTAAATTCACTTCAGTGTACCCATGTTTCTGTCACCATGAGATGCACTCCCTGTACAGCACAAGTCAGGTCTTTGGCCAAAAAGCCCTGAGCCCAAGGGAACATGGAACACCATAGTCCAGCAAAGCTTTGCACATGTTCTCCAGCTGGAATGAAATATGGCAGGCCACTTGCTCATCTTGAATAGCTTTGACAGCCAAGAACACTTCAGTCATCAGAAAACATGCACAAGGTGTAATGAAAAACATTCCAAGAGGAAACAAGCATCTAGTTTCCAGGAGAAAAGGTGGGAGGACTGAGAAAAAAACTTTCTAGCTGGAAAAATAATAGTAATGTGTGAATTATGTTTGAAAATAGGCTTTAAAATACAATGTCTAGAGGGGAACCAACAACAGGCTGTACGGCCAGGAAACCGAAGGTGGTGTTATTTCACAGAACATGACTGCAAAATGCTTCATCACAGGTTACAGGATGTTAAAAAAGAGAATTTTCCTTGAAAATACATAGCAGTCCTGTGGTGTGCAGAATCCACTCACCCTTTACTGCAGCAGCTCACTCGACAGAATTAAAGCCATGGATTGAGTTAACCATTATTTTTTCCCTCAAAAGTGAATTGCTGCTGGGCAAACAAAGGAGAAGCTTTATTTTCTTTTGGCATTCTCTCTCAAGAGAGAACACAAGGCTTCTCCAGGTAGCAATGTGCTCTGTAGTGGCAAATGTCATGGCCTCCCCACTACAGAGGGAAGAAGGTAAGTTTAGAACAGGACAAGATTGAGGACTACCAACGTGCCACAAGGCCTGCTGACACAGAAGATGCAGGAAAACCTTTGGTCTGGTCTGCAGTTCTGTTCTTTATACCAGTTTCATTGAAGTACATGAATTATACCATGCTAAAAAGTAACATGGACTAATGGAATGGAGAGTTGGCTCTTCAGAGAAGGTCCCTTTGGAAAAAAGGGCTTTTTTAGTTTATTCACCTTGACAATGTCATTCTAAAAAGGTAGTTTTGGTCAATCCAGGTTTTAAAATACTGTTTATTTTTAAGAGAAACTGTAAAGTATGACAACAGGACAATGGGCATCATTCAGCAATATCACTTTTGAGTATATAGAGGAAATTAATAAGAACCATCAGTATTTTAAAAAATAAATATGATTAACCATATGGAAAACAGGAAAAACAAAATTCATCTTCAACAACACAGACAGGTATAAATGCTTAAATGTTGCTGTGCAAGGTAGAGGTAGAGGTAGAGATAAACCAGACTTTTCAGATCTAGACCAGTTTTAGATCTGCCCCCCTCCATGCACACACTCCCAAAAGTTCCTGTTGCCAATAATTTCATTTGAATCAGACTGTTAGCATCATCAAACTCAAACAAGTCTGTGTGCTCCTTGTAATGCTCTGAGCTGGAAAACTATTTCAGTTTTCTGTAGAAATCAGTTGCTGAATAACCTGACCCCTGGTTCTGCGACTTGTGCAGCAAAGGAAGAGGCAGGAAGATTATACAGACCAATGAATGTTCTCTGGATGATGCCCACTAGGACAAGCAGATGGTAGAGCCCTTTTAGGAATTGCAACAGTCCATCAGCTCCTCGGTGATGCACCCAGAGACCGTGCCTGGATTTTCTCCTCTGGAGAGAGCATGGTCAGCAGAAATGTCCCAAACCAACAGGTACTGGCTGCAGGGAGAGCCGATTGCCTTACACAGTCCGTTGACACCAAAAACTCACAGAGGAAGACACAGCCCAAGAACCCTCTGTACAAAGCAGCAAGTATCTTGACATAGTGAAATATAAAAACTAAAAATTGCACTGCACACAGGTTTTTCCAAACAAACTCAAGACAACCAAAGTCAGATCGTACAAACCGTTAGTTAAAAAAATACCTTCTTGTATATTTTGAGAAGAAGTGGAAAGAGTCTTCGTGCAAATGTTCAGCCTGGATCAAGCAGAGGACATAAAGTTGTTGTAAACACATTAGTTCCTTTCTCATCTGTATGCACCCAGTGTTATCTATCTTCTGCAGTATAATTAGGGTTAGGAAATCAGTTTCTTCTGTAAATATCACCTTTCAAGTTCCATTGATGTAACATCAAGACACTACTGGTGTCATATCCCACAACTGTTAAATACAATAAAATAAAACAACATAATGAATAATGTTAAAATACAATAAAATACAGTAAAAATATAATCTTTAAATAATTTACATCTTTTTTCTTTAATTAAGAGGGGCTACATGGTTAGAGGATACAACAAGTCTGAAGAAGTTTGATTTAATTTTTCAGCACTTATTAGAGTGGTGGAGGTTGATGAAATAACATTCTCTATGTCACCAGCTTTCACCTCTATAAGACAGGTTCATAGCTGGCCTTAAAAGAAATCAAAAAAACTCCCACTACATTACTAACTTAAATTATCAGAACAGTCATAACAATTGTGAGAGTTGTTTTTTTTAAATTACTCAAGCTGTTATAACTCAGTCATTATTTTAGCTATTTCTTTATTTAGCCACACTGAGATATGGCATGTTGAAAACCAGTTGGTCTTCCTCAAGGGAGAGCTACAGTGAGTACTTGTCCCAGCTCCTTCAGGCAATAACTTCATATACCAAGACCTCCTTGGTCCTTACTGGGCAGAAATCCTCATTCAAATCCCAAGTGAGAAGTTTCTGAGTGGAAGAAGGCAGGTATGACACCCTGCAGCCACACAGGAGAGGGAAGGGAAATGAAGTACAGGAACTAGAGCACGTTCCTCACTCCTACCTTAATAACCTTGTCTGTCCCCGAGGTCAGCAGCCATCCCCTGGTGGCATCAAAGTGTACGTGAACAATGTTGTGTTTGCTGTCATGGAAAGTAGCTGTAGGTGCCCGCCTGGAGAAAGAAATCCAAAAATCATCAAGAACTGTAACTGCAGGATTTCCCCCCCCCCCCCAAATGTTCTCTATTGAGGAAAAAAGTATTTGCTGCTGTAAGGCATTAATTCAGCAACCACTCTGCAAACTGCACTTTCAGACCTATCTGGCATGAAAGGAACAGGGGTGAGGGGCTCTCTATCCCTCCTGGCTTGATCTCCTCCTTATCCTGCTGAGAAAGCCCAGGGACCACCATGCCAGGCTGCTCCTTCCTGGAGCCTTGCACCCACCCAGGCCCTTCCAGATGCAGGAGTTTTCCCCCATTGCAGTGCAATCTGGCTCAGTGCCTACACTTACTCCTCATCTGTTATGGACTCGTGGCAGCTGTCACAGACCCTCACTTCAAACTCGAACCCCATCAGTGGGATGGAGGAGCGCTTGGAGCTGCATTTCCCACACACGGCTTTCCCACACTTCCGGCAGTGATGCTGCAGGAGACAACATGCAGAAAGACATCTCAGGCCACAAAGCCAGAGCAGCTCACTGCTCAGGTCTACTGCCTCGACACCTCACTCCAGCAAGACACAACACAGTTCAGCTCTGCCCCAGACGCTCATTTCTCCAGTTCCATGAGCACATGCAGCACTTCTACACCCCTTTAGTAAAAGTCTGCCATCTGCAGTCCTCTGCTGCTAGGCAGGAAAACACAGCAGCATGTTTCAAGCAGACCAGTAAGCCTTTCCCAATACTGCCTAAGCAGTTACAGATGTTTATCCAATCTCATTGAAAACAGCTTTGGTTTCAGCACAATCTCCAAAAATCAGCTGTAAATTTCTTTCTGTAACTTATTTGACCAACAATGAGCAAAGTCCCACATGGCTTAAGTCATGGAAGGACCCAAATAGCCAAATTTTCTATTGGGGTTGATTGGAGAAAAAGGTGTGTTCCCTTCAACCACAAAATCAAGCCACAGAGGGGAACCCACTGTCTACCCCTTAAGCACTCAGTGGAAGAACAAAGTGCAAATTCTCAAAGCTTTAGGGGGAAAAGGGTTACCAGAATCCATTATGAGAGAAAAGCCTAATGGCACCACGGTAACACACCAAAGGGCACATACAAACCTGCCTGAGGCCTATTTTCTTACTGTCCCACATTTGCTTGAAGTTCCAGAAGAAAGGCTGGTCACATTTTTGACAGGAGTCACTATCCAGCCACTCCGGGGTCTGCAACACACACACATAAACACGAAGTGGAAGTGAGCAACAAGCAGATAAATTTCTGATGGAGCCTAGAGGCAGGATAAAAAAGATGTGGTGTGGCAATGGCCAGCTAAGCTTGATTTAACATCTCCATTTTCACAAGATTCCATTTTGACTGTTGATGATGACAAGATGGTGTTTGCTCCCGGGGATGTCTTTTTTGGCTTGGCTTTGAGCTTTGAAGGACATGGGAGGAACAGTTCTCACAGAAATCACGAAGAAGAGTTTGATAATAAAACCATAGAAACAACCCAATTCTGAAATTAAATATATTAAAATATTTTGTTCTGTCCTGCCTGGACAGCATTTACCATCTGCTATTGCCTCTGGTGGGAGCTGGGGTCAATTAGTATTCCCAATAGCCAAGCAACTCATCTGAAGGGAAAAGGGAAGTTATGGGGAATGCTAATGTGGTTGGGATTTTTCATATTCTTTCTTTAACACCCTAAGAGAAGTTCCTGCTGTTAGAAGTGCCCGTGCTACAAATCACACACAGAGATGAGAAAGATGTGATTCACCTGAACAAGCCTAAGACTCAAACCAAACCCAAGCTCTTTTCCCTCATCAACCCATGAGGTTAAATAAACACTAAATATTGTTTAATACTTTGTGAGGAAGTGCTATTAGCAAACTGCAGTTTTCTTGTCAGAGCCACTAGTTTCTCACATGCTGCAAATTAAAATGGCAAGAAACACAGCCAAAATTAAGAACTAAAAACAACAGAAAAGCCAGGCAAAGGTAAGTTAAAGGCAGAGGGAGACCCCCAGCTCCCAGGATAGCTTCGACCACCAGCAATAAAGCAATCACCCGTTTTATATTCTTTTGCCAGTTAATCTGAAGGCAGTTCATTCTGCTGGGGAAAATCCTTGTTTTTACATCTCTGTGCATAACTTCCCATCTCTTGGGCACTTGAACACTAGAGATGAAGACAACATTTTGTTTGGGGCAAGTAACCACTTTGTAGTCAAACAGAAAGACAGGTTATAGCATCTTTCAAACATCTTCTTACAGCTTTTTTAAAATTGAGTTGAAAATAAACAATCAAGGGCTGAAATGGCTTAATTGATTCTAACACCATCTCAGTGATGTGGGAAAGTCTGACTGCAACAAAATGAGTACTGAGCATGTATAACATGGAGAAAATCCTTAAATAAGGGCAAAGATGCGAAAGCGAAAATCCAAAAGAAAGTGATCTAGGACCCAAACCCAAGGTTTGATATTAAAATCTCAAAGATTCATGTTTTGGGGGTGGTTTAGCACCAAGAACACCGTGTTGTGCTGCTGATAACAAGAACAAGCCCACATAGTCAATAGTCTGGGAAAGCTGTGCACCATTAGCACCTGCTGCTTGGCCTTTATTTCGCTAATAATATTTCTCCTCTATTTTTTAAATCAGCCTTCTCACAGCATTCCTGTCTATTTGGTTACAAGCCAATCTTAACCCTTATTGTAGCCTTTTGAAGGCAGCAAATAAATAAAGGTTTTCATTTCTGAATGTTCAAATTGCGGCAAAAAGGAAACATCTGTTAGGAAGGAGGAAACCACTCTGCTTTCATTTCAATTTAGGAGCTGATGACATATTTGGCCCCTGGATTAGCAATTAAAGAGAGTCAACTGGAATGCTAATTCCCAATATAAAGGGAGCTCAGTTTCTGCCTCTGCCTACTTCAGTAGTTTTTTGAAATCAAGTTTTACACCTAGCATTTCTCCTTCCTCAAGGGAGACACACTCAATTCATGCAGGCCAAGACTCCTGAGAGCCAGCAAAGCTGGTGAAAGCCCATGCTGCCAAAAGCCTTCCTCTGACCTACCCCCCGCAGGAAGGGGGCACAGGTTTGCTGTGACTCATGGCACCAGGATTTGCCAAGCTCCTGAGAAGGGTTGGTGCCTGACTCAGCCAGCACAGAACTCGCTCCCCCCTCTCTGAGTCAGAAATTGCCAAGCGGGGGCTGCTCCCACAGTGCCAAAGTCCTGGGGAACATTTTTGCACCCGCTCACATTCGTTGGCGACAAAGCACAAAAGCAATTAGGAATGTGTGGGTGAAATCTTACTGTCTGGATTACCAAAGCCATCATTTACCTCATTTCTATGTGGTTACACCGGAGGGAAGCAAGATCAAGCGGCAGGTGAGATTGAAGCCTTTGTTAAATGGCTTCTTATCAAGGAAAGAAAATCCTGAGTTGTGTTTTTCCAGAGATGACCAAGAGTCATCTTATTTTACTTTTTTAAAACCAAAATAAATCAATCAGTCCATCCATTTACATCTGAACTGATATATCTCATGATGTGCTGAAAAACACAGCAGAGCATCTCAGTACCCTCCTTACAGAATATCTTTCAGAGCAGTAATGTAATGAGCAAGAGCCATTTAGCAGCCTATTTAATACAAATTTTCTGCCAGGCGATTTCCCCTGTACCATATTATCAAAGGCATGGCATAATTGCTGTATAACAACTGGAGCACGTCCAGAAATGTTTTTAAAGCTTGGAATGATCTTGTTTAGGTTGAAAGCTGCACACATTTTAGAAAGGTCCCTTCTTCCCAGAACTGCTTCAGACCAGACTGACAAGAACTAAACATCTACCTCCTGCCTCTCAACATCCATGTTCCAGACAACGATTCCCCCATCTGCACCACAGGAGATGAGCTGCCGAGTGTGGTGAGCATAGGAGAGAGACTGAACTTTATCACTGAAAAAGAAACAAGACAGTTAGCAATCAACCACCTATGGCTACTGCACAAGTGAGCACAGAATATCAATAAAGCAGTACAAGCCATTTGTTTGCCCATATGTTTCCCTCCACCACGCATTGTACATGGCATCCATCAGAGGCAAATCAGTCTTTGCTGTCAGAATGGGATCAGGATGAGAGTGTTGCTCATCTGGGCACCATCCACAAAAGCAAAGACCTGTTGTGATAACTGTTTTTGCTGCTGCTGGGATAGGAGGTCCCAGCTGCACAGGGAAGCCTCAACAGGGTTGCAGCTTCTAAAGGCACATCTGGATGCATAAACGCAGCCCTGGTAAGATACCTTCTTGGCAGAATGTCAGAAACAACTTTGTTTTGTAAGTCTCTGCAACATCTAGAAATGAATCACTGAGAAAATACTGAAGATTTTCTTTTGGCACTAACAAGCAGAAGTGTTTAAAAAGATAATGCAGGCATCACTAAATTGTTCCTAAGCCTTCTCACAGTAAGGTGGAAAATTTAGGTGCTTCTGTTTTTTCTTTCAATGAAAAAACAATCTGGGAGGAACAATTCAGCTTAACCCCCCAAAGATAGGCTTGGTCTTTCATAAAAGAAAGAAATTCAGACCTCATCTTAGGCTATTTACAACCTGAGAAACAAAGACTGTACAACACTGTTAGGGAAAAAACAAGGTTGTAAAGACACAGGAACTGAACAAACTGTGACTTGAAATCCTCCACATTTGATTTCCTGTGCTACCATCACTGGTCTTGTCTGCAAAAAGGACTTGCATGGTAACACATTTATTTGCGCCTATGGCTGAACCTGAAGAGGAATGCATTCATGGCAGAGTTTGGGACAACACTGCCACCCTTTACAGTGCCTGTCTGCCGACACCAGAGGCACCATCAGGATGTGTAGGATGCTGCACAGTTCCAGCTGACAGCCATCACACAGATTAATGTCCAGAGGCTAACTTCATATTAGAACTAATTTCCACAGCAATAAATCAAGCAGTGATGCATTAGTGAGTACTATTAGTAGGGTATGAGGGTGATCTGGTAACTTCAGCTAGAGCTCTGCAGTGCTCTGAAATCCCAGAGGCATCCAAATCACTCAGCAGAGTGCAGCATCACTCAAAATAAATGCATGAATAGGTAAGAAACTGTTAGCTCAAAACCACCACGGGATTTTGTCTCTCCAGACCTGAGCCTGGCATGCAAGTTCCACATATATGAAGTCCCAATACTCTGATACCAACTTGTTGCATTGTCAGTGTTAAAAGGTGAGGAGTCATTGCCACTAGAACCATTCTGATGTATAATCAATGCCCAGCACGGGCTTACCCATCTTCAGACATTTATGGCTGTGCAAATGTATTTGCAAAGATGATGCCTTTTTGCACTGAGATGTGAAGGCTACTCCGGTTAAAGGTTAAAGCACATCACTTAGAATTCAGGCTGTAGGTGAAAGAGCATGGAGGAAAAAGGGATTAATTGTCCAAGCCCGATGCTCCCTCTAGAGGAAGGAAAGACCTTGACACCTAAAACCCCAGAATTTCCCTGCAGCTGTTCTCATTTGAGGAGCCTCCACTTTCCAACAATGGCACAGGCTCTGGCATAACACATTCAGGACTACAGACGTGTTTTCTTTCACCATCCTCTGCAGACTCTTAAAACAGCCTGTGCCCTAACACTGGAAAACTATAAACAAATTATTCCTGTTGTATACAGACCACAGGGAGTCACACATACAAACTTGAAGCTTGTGAAGACTGTAAACTTTGGGCTGTTTGTTTCCAGATATGGCTTCTGCATTTAGCTTTTCTCATATAAAACCAGGAGGAAAGGCTTTGAACATACTTATGTCCTTGCAGCTCAATGGCTGTTCCTTTTCTTCCTCCAATATCCCACATTATAATGGAATGATCAGAACTGCCTGAGAATAAAATTCGCTGTATTGGGTCCCAGCAGAGAGCAGTGACACCACCTGCAATAGGAGCACACACAACAGTCATTTTATTACAGAAAGTGAAAGATTGGAAGGTAGCTAAATATAAAGATACAACAAAAAATATGGAGTGGTTAAAATGCAGATTTCTTTGGCAAAGACTATGCAACCATGTGCCTTCCAGTGGAAAAATAACAGTCTAGAAAAACTACTGAAACCCCATCCTGCTCTTCTGTGGGCACAGGGCTTCACTGCTGTTTGCATGGGTGAATCCACTGAGCAGTAAAGTGTGGAAGAAGAATGGTCACAGTGGGAGCTACACAACTTTCCATCTCCATAATTTCCAGAAGATTAAAAAAGAAGCAAGTGTGGAATGTTATGAGCATCTTCTCGGTATCCTAGCACAAGGACTGACCTACATTGTGCTATCTTAAGCTATTAGCACTTAGTTAGAGAGGAGAGATAGGAAGAAAAAATGCTGAGGAATGACAGGATTTCTTCTGTCAGATGATAGGATCATATCCAGGGTTTCTCTTTTCAAAGGGTGATAAGGCACAAGTGCCAGCAGTGAAATGAGCATTTAGTGCCTCCAAGCTGTGCCTATTCCACTTAGGATAAAGTGTCTACCAATACAGATCTTGCCTTTAGCAGCAACCTTTCTCCCTCCCAGAACTACCACAACTTGTTCAAGTCTCACTCTGCTTTAATTGGCAGCTACCGATTGTGGCATTTTCTGCCACAGATGTGTTCTGCACAAAGCTCTGATCACTCTTCTTTTTACCAACACAGCTTCCCTGAACTGCTGGGACAGTTTAAGAGCTGTGTCTTTCCACGCTAAACACTGACACAAGCCATCCTAGTGTATCACAGGACAGTCAAACCATCGTGATGCTGAGCACAGATGAAGACTCTCCTGAGTACCTTTCTGGGTCTCCCCCTGAGGCCTTACCTGTGTGTCCCTTAAATGTGGTAACAAGGCTGCAGGACTCTTGCTCTAATTTGAGGATGGTCACCTGCCCAGAATGGTCACCAACAAACACATGCCGAGTTTCCACATCAAATCTGAAGGATAGATGCTGAGGAAAACATATTATTTACACAAGCTTTACATTCCTTTCATGACTTGCTAATTCTTTTGACATGAGTACACTGCAATCTTGTGAATAGTGCTCCAGTCTCAAGGAGGTATTCAGAATGTACTTTAAGGCACCTGTTCATCTTAATAATGCTCATACCTGTTCATACTAATAGTGCAGTATCCCTGGGTGAGAAAGAACGAGACTATTCCAGGACACAATTCGTGGCTTTGTTATGAAACACCACTGAAGTAGCCCTTTGCCATGAATGTAAGAGTTGTCTCCTCAGGCTTTGTAACTTAAGTGCTAGAGTTGGATGGTATCCACTCTCTCCCTTCCCAAAATGATACAAAATACAAAGGAGTACTAATTTTAAGTACACAGGACACTGCAGAACAAAAAAAAAAAACCCAAACCTGTTCCTTGTTATGCCAAATATTTTTGCAGTATTTTCCCGTGATTCTCCCTTCCACTGCTTCCATTGCTCTCCACCACAATAATCAGATGACTGAAATTAAATTGTCCTCCAAAAGTTTTTATCAGTCAAAATTGGCTGTTCTCTAGAGAGATTTAGGGTACACAGGGCAAATTCTTGCATCATACTTTCAAAAATATTTATCAATTAATTAAAAAGTAAGTTCAGTCTTTCTTCCATTTAGATTGACTGAATTACCAGCTAATAGACAGCAAGTTCATCTTGAAACAGTAATTTTGAGTCAATATCACTTCTCATGAACTAGCAAAACATGAATCATCTATACCACATACACTCTGGGGCATTAAAATGTCTGTTTATGCTAACCCCTGTTTTCAGCCAAGAGCTCATACTTTTCCATTTCCCTTTTCATTTTCAATAAAGCTGAATTAATATTTCTTTTATTGCCAGGCAGCTGGGGCAGGTCTACATGAATAAGCCACCTGAGTGCCATTTTTGGAGTCATTTACTATTTAGTTAACCCAAATTCCCAACACATAGTAAGCAGTTCCAGAGTGAAGGACAAGTGCTCATTATTTTATATTAAAGTAATTTAAATTTTACCATGCATAAACACAGGGACTCTGACCTGATCACCAACCTACTTTTGCTACCATTAATTCTCTGAAGAAAGCATGCACTGCATGCTTAAATGAAGGCCCTATCCATATTTATTACAATAGCAGACCACAATAGGTTGCAGATTGCCCATTGTGGAGCTCAAAGATGGTTAGACCTAAATATGCCACAACGCATTAAGGAGACAAAGCAAGGAGAACTGACAGTTTTTTAAATTGGTTTTAAATAAGTTTCTCTCACAAAGCACTGAATCCATACAAGGCACAAAATTTGGAGGAGACCTAGACAAATAAAGGGGAAGGGCTGTTTGAGTGCCAAAGAGCAGAAACAGCACGGAGAGCTCAGCAGAGGATACTGGAGGCCGCAGGCGCCCGCGCTGGTGCGGTACCCCCCCAGCCGCTGGCCACTCTCCGAGCAGTGCCACGTGAAGTGTTTGTCTTGTCCGGTGCTCAACACCCACTCCATCTCCAGGACAAACAGAATCATGATGACCCTGCTTTGATGAGCTGAAAGTTAAGCAGACAGACATATAATCGCATTGCAGAGTAGAACACGGGGGCAGACAACCATTGCAAACACCAACTGCATCCAACTCCCCCACTCACCCTACAGAAGCAGCTGGTGCTTAATAATCCTGTTGACATCAGCTTCCATGGAAGCTTGTAAGGTCCCTGCTCTGCATGTTCAGCGTTTGCATGAGAAAGAGTGGAAGCAAGACTTAATTCCTTCCATGCCTATTGCAGTCATTTATCTTCTACAGCAGCACAAGTCTTTCCTCCATCATTGTATCATCACTAACAAAGCTGCCACTGTGGAATGGACTTGAGGTTCCATTCAAACCTCCTTTGAGCTAGTTTTTTGACAGCAGTGAAAATGCCTACACTGCTGCTCCTCTTGCTGTGAAGTTTTGGTGGATCTGGGCTGTGGTACCCCAGCAGAACGAGTTACAGCACTGGCCCAATGCTGCACCAAAGGGAAATTTCAACATTAAAAGATTACTGGAATAAAATTTATATACAAGTAAATATCACGGTTGTAGTAGATGAATAAAACAGCTGAAGGAATAAATTTCTACTGCTACCAAAACAAAGCCATCAAAAAGTTTTCATTAAAACAAGGGAATGCATGCTTGTTTTTTGCATGAATGACCAGTGGGCTTGGTCATGAAGTGCTCATTGAGCTGAGATTCTAATAAAACAAGTGGCTGGAAAGACATACAGAACTATTCCCAGCTGTAACTTAATGGTGAATGCCACATTCCTCAATCAACAGCCCTACTGGTTTATTACTATTCTAAGATGCAGCAACATGTGTTGCACAAAACAGACTGCTTGTATTTGTTTGTGTAAAAGCTGACACAAAAAGAGATTGAATATGTTTAGAAGCTTAAAAACCAGCCCCAAGCCTCCTAAAATGAAGAGAATCTCCTCAGAACATTATGGGTAGACTGCTGTCTTCCCTATCCAAATATGCAGCATATATGAGAGCTGTGTTCAGACCTCACAAGGGAGAGGAAAGAGGAGGAGGCTCCCAAGAGCCAACACCAGCCCTGATCCACACTGCTTTTTCAGACTGAGATTCCCTGAGCAGGAAAGTCAATAGATGTATTGATACAACTTGCTGTAATGGCAATTGACAGCTAAAACAAAGTGTCAGGCATGAACTGTGCCCAGATGCTTTCACCCTTGCCCATTAGAAGAGCTCAGATTTTGGCTGTCATTTCCACACACATTCCAGATAAAAGGACGGGGACCATTCAGGAGTCACCTGAACTCTTTCAGATAGATCCCATCTCCTCTCTACCCTTGCTTTCTCTGGGAAGAAATTCAATGGCCTCCCTAGGTGACTCATGTTTATCTTTACCCATCTGTCGGTCTCTCTGGGAACACCTGCACCAGCCAGTGGAGCGCTGCACTTAGAGCTGCTGCCACAAGCACCTCGTGGGCTCACAAACATGTTCCAGGAGCTTTGGAACACATTGATGGTGTGAACCATAAACATTTTTCACACATTGATGGTGTGAACCATCAATGCCACAGACACACCCATGCATTTCCATGGGATGTGGAAAGCTGGCTGAGATCAGACTGCTCAAGGCCTGTCCAGGAATATTTTCTCAGCATGTGGCAAATGCTACTGCTAGTGACAGCTTCTTATGGTTTGAATTGGTTGTGAGAATAGCTGGCACCACCCAACTCTCCTAAATCTCCTTCTACCTCCCATAACTTCTAAAAGACGGAGCTTGTAATTTTTGGTAGAAGTACTGCCTGTGGATGCTGAGGCAGCTCTTTCTGGCAAGTAAGGAGTAGACATTAAAAAATGGTACTTGCCAAGAGGTGGATGGGGTGTACATGACAGCTTTGCTTATCCTCCCTCCCCAAAAAGAGCTTTCAATTCAGCACTGCTGTCCACCTGCACATATTATCTAAAGCCACCACACACATGCTGATGGCAGATATATCTGAAACAAGTAAAAGCACACAGTGTAGATCATCTAAGTAAAGGAGCAGAGAGAAGACAAATGTAAATAGAAAGTCACTTATTGTTAAGAGGGATTTTGACTTAAGTAAGGCTTAAAGAAGCAAAATATCAGAAGATTGGAAGCTGATAGAAGAGCAAGGAAGGGGTCTGGGTCCTAGGATTAACACAGGTTCAGCATCTTGAAGCAGCAAACAAAAAGCTGGTCCTTCATCTATTGAAGATTTGATCACCATTTGTATGCAGAAAAATGTGGAGCAAACAATTCCAAAGCTGCTAATTTGTAACAACAGCAGGATGGAGATGGGGGGATGGAGTGTGAATGCGGTTACAGCACAGGAAAACTCTCAACAGGCACCAGGCAAGAGCAGATCTGTGTAAGCCAGAATGAGAAGAGAGCCATTTGTGGAGAAAGGTCATGCTGTACAGAAGGGACAGAAGCAGCAGAGAGGAGAAAGGGACATGTCCATGTGCAGCTGTAGGGCAGGAAGGAAGAGGGTGGCTGCTCTCCTCTATGAGAAAGCTGCAGTGAGCACTATGCAAAGAGCAGGTTGGAGAGAGGATGGAAAGGCTGAGTCCAAAGAAAAGAAGCTGCAGCCAGGAAGTGCACAGCAAGATGCCAGCAAAGGAAGTGAAGACTCAGTGTTGTGCATAAAAGCAAAAGTCTGAGAAGCATGGCCAGTGCACAGCCACACAGTGCTGGGCAAGAAGCTGTTCTGAGGGGATACAACAATAAAAAGTATCAGCAAACACCAAAACAGAGGAAATTGCCAGGAAGAAAAAAAAGCTTAGCATGAGCAAAAAAAGCACAAGTGCTTAGAGGAAAGCAGAAGGAAGGGCATGACATAAGCTGGCCTGAAAGCAGAGGGCCAGGGGGACACCTTTGAAACAGGCAGGCTGCACAAAGCATGGGGCAGAAGCAGGTCTACAAATCTGGCTAGGCAGAAGAAAGCATATGCCAAATAAATAAATAAATAAAACAAACAAAACACTAAATCAGGAGCTGTTATCCAGAGGGAACATGGCAAGATGGTCCAGTTGCAAGAAGCCGGGTAGAGAAGGCCATAAAGAATGGCAAGCAGCAACAGCCATATGGACCAGCCTGTGTGGGGCTGGAGGGGGACTGGAGGCCAAGGCTGCTGAGGGAGGGGAAAAGGTTTCTGGCAGGAATGTGGGAGGAGTTGCCCAGGGAGAGAGCAGAGGTTGTCTACACCTTCAGCTGGTGCTGTGACTGAAGGACAGGGGATGATGATATGAGAGACAGACACACAATGAAAAAAAATTAATTTCCCAGAGCATGCCAAATGGCACTGACCAAATGCTCACACTACATCTCCTTATGCGAGAGAATGAGTCAGTGCCTGCAGGAGGCCAATGCCACAAGACCCACCCCAGAGTCCTGACTAATCCTGTGTCACATCCCCCATCTCTGCATTCAGATCCCTTTCAAGAAATAAGATTTCACAACTCCAGACACAGTGTTGCTGCAAAACCTCCACAGAGCATGTCCAGCCATGTACACTGCCTAGGCCAGGCTCCATAAGCCACTCCTGGCTGCACACCCCTACCAAGACCAAAGCACAGCCTATCCATGTGCTGTCGTTCTCTATCACCAGAAGATCATATTGACCAATATGGCCTTTCAACACACAATAAATGTTCTTTAATCACTACAGTAGCCTCAGCTATTTATAATACCTTGTTGTGGGAGATGATAATAGCACACCAGTCACTGGGCAAGAGCACTGCTGACTATTTACAAAGCTAGCAAACACAAAACCAGTCAGCATGATTCAGCTAAAGCCATTTAGTAAGCTAAATAAAATAATTTACTCCCCTAAAATACTTTTGAAGAACATAAAGGTCTTACTTGAAAACTTTAAGCAAAACTTTTTAAAAGTAAGACTTTTAACAAATGAACCACTAGAAGGCCACCATACCCAACAAAACCACCTGTTCCTTCTTAATTTTAATTTTTCCTTGCCCAGGGTTTTACCAAGATGCTCATCCCAACCCCAAAATTCAGTATGGCCATGTGACGAAGGTGCACTGCAGGGACAGGATTGTGGAGGGAGTCCTACTGGACCATGTGAGGAAGGACCATCTCTTTTGGATCTTGATGTACCTACTACCATGCTCTTCCCTGCATATTCTCCCAGATAGCATGTTGAAAACACGTCTCTTTCCTCCTTGCCGTGTTCCAGCTAGACTTTGGACCCAATGAGGCTGCTGGTAAGCCCAGATCCAGTGGTCTGGCTGGAGGCAAATGTAGCAAGAGGAGCAGGAAAGTGCCTAACACTGTGTGGACCAATGGAACTACAAGACCCTATGACTGACAGCAGCCCACAGAACACCTCATCTTTGCAATGTTTCCCCAGAACTCCAGACCTCCAGCATGGGTCCAGCCAAGCCCATGGACCAGGCAGAGGGGATGCTACCCTCCTTCACCAACACCTGGTGTGAAGAGTGGAAAATCCAGGAGCATGTCTTTTTGGAGGGGGATGGTGGGAAGCACTGTGCTGTGGAGCAGCAAGCAGCCCCAGGTCATTGGTGACCTGAAAATAGTGGGGAATCTCTTTGTTTTGGTCTTTTTTCTTGTTCCTGCCTTGCACTGTCAGAAAACTCTTCATTGCAATTGTGCAGGTGTATGCAGTGAGACACTAGCACAAGCTGTCCAGAGAAGATGTGGATGTCCCATTTCTGGAAGTGTTCAAGGCCAGATTGGATGGGGCTTTGAGAACCTGGTCTAGTGGAAGGTGTCCCTTCCCATGGAAGGGGGACTGGAACTTGCTGATCTTTATGGTCCCTTTCAACCCAAACCATTCCATGATCCTATGAAAAACCTTCCCATGGTGAGACAAGGAGGCTAGGATGAAGGTGACTCCAGTTAGGACTGCGGTCAGCTGCTCCACTTCTCCATTGATGTTAGTGGACACTCATTAGAATCCTTTGCTCTCCAACATATGGGAAATCTGAGCTCTTGGGTTTCCCACCAGGACAACCCATGGAGGTTCTCCATGACATCTTCCATCCAAAGGCCTCCTCTAACGTTTGTAACACATCAGGTACATTGCAGAAAACCACAAGAACAGCTTTCATTTTCCTTTTTTTTTTTTTTTAATGAGAGTTTTTCCGCAGACCTTCAGTAGGCTGTCACAGCCAACTGGCTTTTCTGAAATACTGCCAAGAAATCCATTCCCCTCTTCCAAAATTTTTAGCATTTTCCCTGAAGAACTCATCAAGAAAGTTGTTCTCATGCATATGTTGTTCTGCATATACAGAAGAAAAGTCCTCAGCTCACCCTCTTTAGCCACAACATTTAAATATGAAACTTAGCTGCATTAAACTTTGGTGATTGCAGAGCAATCACAAACTTGGATACTTAGCACCTGTAGAGTCAGAGTGCAGCAAGCTTATTTAAGACTCACATATATATATTTTATCATCATTGGATATTTTTCTTCGGTTTCTACAATCTAAGAATAAATGCAGGCATTCTAGCTTAATTTTACAACACACCAGACATTCATGAAACACTCACATGTTAGCCATGCTCTGCAAAAATCAAGATTCTCTTCAGACCTTAAAATTTAAATGTTACAAAGTGATCCCCAGAGCCTCCATTTAGAGATTTAAATTACCCTCTCAATCTTTCAAGGTATAAAACTCAAAATACATGAGTAAGAACATATTTTAAAATGTATGTGAGAAATGTCAAGCTAACATGTCAGAGGCTTCTATACAGAAATATAATGCTTAGTATATATGATACTATATAATATCATACCACCTATTAGTCTAATAGCAAAATATATATATAAGAATAAATTGCCACAGGTATTTGTTACTTTTATAAGAATACCTCTCCAAAACAGTGTCCTTTAGAGGTTTGAAAAGGACCAATAGCTAGGTTTCTGAAAACATCACATTAGTGAACACCAGACTCTAATTAGAAAAGGTATGGACTGGCATTTCTTGACCTTTTACTAGGAGAGGTATTCACTGATAATCTCGTGGTTATTGGGACCGACAGTTACTGAGATACAGCCAGACTAACCCCAAAAGCTTCAGTCTTAAAAGATGGGTTAGTTTCCTAAGTTGTTTCAGTAGATACACTGGATTACTGAAGACTGAAAATTAAAACTCCTATTCTCCAAATGCAGATGGTTTGCTGTCTACTGTGATATTCCAAAGGAACACGTAAGCGAAAAAACAGAACACGAAACAGCTCTTTAAAAAAATCTTGTCATCTCAGAACAAAGCACATTATAGATCTATTGATAAAACCAGCATTTACACTAGTGAAAAAAAAGGTATAATTGTAAGGGAAACTTTTCCATTCATACTCCTTAAGAAAACATTAACAAAAATTAATGACAATATAAATCAATTAACATGGATTGTGGTTCTTACCCTGGTAACTTTTCACTAGTGTCATCTTGTTGTAGTCTTCTGATAAAATGAATTCCTGAGGGAGAGAAAGAAAAAACAAAAGAAGCGGGGCTTAGAGATGTAAAGTGTTTAAGACTATTTACATTTGAATACTTTACCTAGGTAAGCTCTCCCTTTTTCAAAACCACAGCCCTATCTACACTTTTAATAATTTTGAGTACCAAAAAACCTAAATTATTTCACCTTTTAAAGCTGTCTAAGGCAATGTTATGAATGTTTCTGAATGGAATGGATAAAAGAGGAACCAATAAAAAAGAAATTAAAAAAGCTTACATAAATGACTGGCTGTGAGCTGAGGTGCCACAAAATAAGGAACCTGAGACCTGGGGAACACCTGCTGCTCAGGACTGCCTGGCAGAAAGCTGCATGTGTGCACAGCTCTATTGTGTGCCCACGTGTATATTTGCGCATACACATTTACCCATGTGTGTGCATACATTAACTATACCTCAACCTGAACACTCAGGAAACACAATATAAATATGTAAGAGACCCTCCAAATTGCTTAGTCCAGATTAGGTACCAACAATACATGATGGGAATGGAATGCATTTCAGGATTCTGTTAAAAAGCCTCTCAGTGCTTCAGACAAACAGAAGCCCAAACTTTTCTGTGTCCAGGCAAGAGCACACCTATAGCGATGGGCTCTGTTGTCTTGGTGCTGCTGTTCAATTTCCAATATGGCTTTTGCATAGGGAAATGCTGAGCATGGCAGCCTTGGCTCCTGGAAAAGTCCTGGGTGGTTAAACTCACTAACCACTCGGGTGTTCCTGCAGATTGTTTTGCAGACAAGAGTTACTCAAAACTGGAGAAATGGAATGGCCACAACCAAACTCCTGCAACACCTCTCTGGTGGAAACACCCAAGTAAAGGGTAGGCTCTGTGGCAGCACCGCATGGATTAGCCTTCAGAGACCTGCCAGGTATCTACGTATATACATCACATACTCAGAGAAACACAAAGTAAAAAATGAAGGCGCATAAACCACATAATTTTAGTAATTTATAGCAAACTACACAGAAGCTCCCTGTGCTGATCTGCCCGAAGGACAGAAGAAGTAAAGACTAACTCATTTAATCTGGAATAGAATGGAAAACTAAAGTAAACATTACAGACACAAGATAAGCGAATTTGATAAACATATAGTTGTGAAATGTTCTGGTGCACATGCCAAAAGCACTGGAGAAGACTGAACTTCAGAAGCCTACTGACTATGTCTAAGGCAAATCAAACATTTAATGTAAAAGAGAAAAGACATTCTAACCTCCAGTAAGACAGTATTTCCCCCCAGTTTCTAAACCACAATTTAAAAGAAGTCACTCTGCATTTTTGGTTTGGTCACTGCAGGTAATCTGCCTGGCCTTTAGCACCAGAATTACCCAAATGCATCACATCTACTGCTTGGCACCAAGGTGGAGAGTACTCATCTGTGGAATATCTACAGATCCCGGCTTCCAGAAAAAACAACTGGGAGTGATTTGAGGCAGCTATGTATTCTGCTGTCTCTATGTTTCTATCCATAAATTTGTTATAAATACATTCTCTTTAATTGTTCTAATTCATTTTCCTTTCCTTAATCTGCTCCAGCTCCCAGTAGGTTTCCCTGGCAGCTGAGGACTACAGTGGGGAGTGTTACTTAAACAGCAGTAACAAATAAATTAAGTCAGCTGGATTTCTATACCAGGGGCACCTTATCTCTACAAGCCACAGAAAGTTTAAAATCTGCTACACCTTTCCAGCTACTAACAGGAGAACTTGTTTTCCTTAACCATGCCCTGAAAAATACTACATCACCACATGAAATGCTTCACTACAAAGCCTATTTGAAGCAGGACCCTTTGCTAGAATGCTAGCTTTCTGCTATTGCTGCCTGAAGAAAAATTGCTCTAATTTCTGCAACATGTGATGGGAGGATATGTCTGCCTTTCCCACCAATTTGGCTGTCCTTGTCTCGGATTGCAGTGATGTACAGATGCTGGTGACTTCAGGTGGGATGTAGAGAGTGGATTGCGTTCTCGCTTTTATTTGTATTTTTCTCTTAACAAATTTGATGTGGCCATTCTATTTTGTGCTCCAAAGAGCACCACAGTTTCAGTGGAAGACAGAAAAGGCTTTTGCTTATCTCCATTATAATACAATAAATCAAACAAGTGCAGTTTGTAAGGTGTATCCAAGTACTGATTACCAATGTATTCTTCAATATAAGCCACAGCTATGTACTATCAGTACACTGCTCCATCCAAAATAAAAACAAATATAGTACAAGATAAACAGTTTCAGTTAACCAAATATGGATATAATTTTTTTTCCTTTAGACCTCTTACATATAATTTTCTTCTTTGAAAGCATATTCTTCTTTGAAATGCATTTGTGATATATTTTGCATTTTCTAATCTTTTTGCAGGTTTCCCACTCCCCTTTACACTCCCTTGTGTTCTTCCATTGCAATTATTGCCCTCTCCCTCTTTCAGGCTGAATGCATTAGTTGCATCACTAGACAGGTATTTTAGCACAGGGCACCTTGGCCAAGAAATTCATGCCCTATTGCACATACAATGTGTCATCTGCACGACAAAAACACCAACTACATCTCTTTAACACTGTACCAGCAGAAGATGTTTTTTTATCCTTGCCTACGTAGATGCTTTGCTCCTTCAGAGCTGCTGACATTCAGTTCTCATTAGGCAGCTTCTGGCTCTTCTTAATGAGCTGGAAAAGCTGGGGTCACCTACACAGCTCAGTCAGTGCTTGTTAACAGAACAGAGAAAGACTTCTGAGTCCTGTGTAAGCCCTTTTGCACAGCAGGGGCTGGGACACATCAGAGCACTCAGGATGAACACCCTCCTTGCAGGGATTAAAAACTTTTCTGGCAAGATAAATCCTTATCCTTCAAGAGGTGATTTTGGAGCTACTTTACTACCTTTTTGTAATACTTAAAACATTAATGCTCAGTCTTGCCCGTTTCAGGTAAGCTTATCATTACAACAGCAACTTGGTACTATAAAAGTCTTCAAAGCACAAATTATTGAAGACTGTCAAAATCCAGCTGTCCAGTGATGTACAAAGACTCCCAACTATTCCTTTGTGTAGCACACCTCCCTCACACTGAAACACATACACCCATCACAAACTTCTCTTTAGCAAAAGACTTCTGTAAAACCTCATCCAAGAAATAGTATCAGCAACTTGTTTAAATAATTCAGAGTCCTTGACCATGGGGCTGGGTGACATGGTCCAGGAACTAAGGAAGATCCATGCCTACCCAGAGCTTCAGGTATATGCCAACTGATGTATCACAAAATGGAGAACTCTCCTTAAGCAACTGAATCCATTTCTGAGTTAATAATCTTTATATATTAGTTATGTGTTACCTGTGCACAGGCTTGTTCCCACCCTGGGGAATTTATAGTCTGCTCTTTGATAGATTATGCCATTTTGACAACACACTACGAATCTCTTTATAGGCTTGACTTTATCCTGTTAACATAAGTGACTGACTGCACTCTCAGATCTTCCAGAGAACACACCTGCTCCAGAAATGGAAGAGAATGAAAACCCTTAAGTCTTGTATCAGACACTACATCTATATCTGTTGGGAGAAAAACCAAACCTCTACAAATAATGACAACATTTTCACATTTTTTATTATATAATTTCATTTCATTTCTTGAGATAAAAAATACTGAACTCCCCACAACAGCAGAGGGGAAGGTTGTACATCAGTAGGTAGAGCCTGTCTCAGTCTCAGCTATTCAAAATACTGTTAATGGTCAAACTCGTAGACAGCTGCAAGATCAGATGAGGTGGAAGATGAATTTATCTTAATAAATACCAACCCCGAGGAAGAATTCTGAAGGGATTATTCTGGTGCCCTGTTGTCCTTGTGGCTCTGCTCAAAGTATGTAACACCTTCATATAGACTTAGGCATGGTCAGCAAAAAAAGATCAATTTAATTCATCTTCAGCTACCTAAAAACTACAATTTTCATTTCAATCTCTCCAGAAATGAAAAGAGAAATTGATGCCATTTTTAATGGTTTCTAGAAAAAGTAACATAGGTGCATCCAAAGACAATTCATCTCTCCTTTACTGGCTGCAGAACCTAATGCTTAACTTCATCTAAGAAATGAGTTTTCATATGGATGAAATGAGGCAAGAAGCCTCATCTTGCCAGTGGAAGTCTCCTGTTTATTGCAAGTGGAAGATCTTTCTTCTGTTTCTTGTAGTATCTTAAGAGCCTTGCAGCCGTTAGAGCATGGCTTTTTCCACTTCTGACCAAGGAGTTTATGTCCAGGATAAAGTCTTTTGGCTTCCAAAGGGGATTTCAAGCAGTCCCTAAGATATCATTTCTTCTCAAGAAAAGGTTTGCAAAGCGTAAAATAAGTAAATTGCAGAAAGTTTGGTTATTTTACATTAGGTACCACCACTCTTCAAGCAAGATGCTAGACAATCTTTACTCAAGATAATGGTGTGCTGTGCTGCACAAATGTTTGTGCAGCCCTCACGCTGAGAAATGACACAAGATTAAAAACAATCTCTTCCTCTCTGTAGAAGCAAAAGTTGCAGCCTTGTCTCACACAAGAGGTGACCACACAAGCTCACCTCAGGTGGCTTTGCTGGAACTTCTTTCAGTGCCAATAGTGCTGCTGCCTGTCCTTCTCAAAATGCAGCATATGCATTCCTGAAGTGCCATGCTTATAACCAAAATCAATACAGCTTACAAAAATTTCACATAGAATAAAAAAAAGGCAGTTCCACTTTCTTATCTCCATTTAGACCTGAAAGTACTTCCTTGCACTGTAAAAAAAAAAATCATTTGAGATTACATGTCACACTCATGAACTATCAGCTCACAGCCCTTACCACGAATCCTTTCTTTCTATCCCAATTGAAGGTGAAGAATAATTGGCTGGGTTTTACTGGTATGGCTGGATGGTTTTTTATTTGTGGTTTTTTTTGGTTTTTTTTGGCCCTGCACCCAGCATACGCAAGCGTGCTGGGCATTACAGAAGTGCTAATGTGGAGCAGCTGACTACTTCCCAAATATTTCAAGCTGCTTAAGCGAATTGCCTGTTTTTTCCCTTTGAGGAAATTAAAATAAGGGTACTAAGGTCACCTTGCTGCATTAAGTTCTGTCATTTTGTGGTCAATGTGCCCTGCTTATGTATTGCTGTGCTAAACTAATCATCATAGCTGGGCCCAGGAAAGAAAATTTATCCTTTCCTCCAGAGAGTGGTTGTAATCCACGTTCAAGTACCTGGGGATTTCTCTACACTCCAGTACTGCTGGGATTTGACAATGGGGCTCCCCTTGTTCTGCCATTCCCACCTCCACCACTTTTTGCAGCACATTACAGCTGTGGCTTCTCTTACAAGTAAGTCTTAGGTTTGCTACAGATGAAAATATTTCATCCTTTGTACAAATTTGTGGAGTGCATTTTCCCTTACCACACAAGTGCTTGAAGCTACAGAGGACTAAATCAAGCAACACAGACAAGCACTTCCCCCTTCCTATATACTTGTATCCAGAAGACTGGGAAAAGAAAAACCCAGCTTAGCAACAAATAGAATCTGCCTTAGACGTGGCAGTATAAACCTATAAATATCCAAAGTCACATGTAGGTTTATCACCTGCATATCTCATTTACCTTTTTTAGCTTGGAATGGAAAATATTTGACCCCATTTACTCTGATGCATCCTCTGACTCTTCAAAATAAAATGCCCCCAAGACAAAGGACACATCTCCCATTACACCAGAGTATTTAAATACCTTATTTACAGTTGCCTTCACATTCCTCAAAGGCCTGGTGAAAACAAAAGTGCCTAGTAGGACTGGCAAATTTCAGCTATTTCAGAGTGGGAAGGAGAGAATTTCAGAGGTGCAGAGAATTCTCTGGAATCTGTCCCATCTGCTAGATACAAAAGGAAAAATGTCCTACAGGCACACACAAAAAAAATCTCTGCTACTAGGCATTAATAGCTTTATAGGTCAAAACCCTCACATCTTTGATGGAGCTTACATGCAACAGCTAAAAGGGTCACATTCCCCTTCCCAAACACCATACTGGCTTTAGTGCAGACAGCTGCCCTTATATCAGCCTGAAAATACTCATACAGTTATAAGGCCCATAAGGCACAGAGAATAGCAGAAAAATGGTGAACTGATCTTGAACTGGAAGAGGAATCTATTGATGAGGTTTAGGTGAAAAAATACCTCTGACCCATGACTCTTTCACTCTTCCAAGTGATACAGCTTTTTATTCATCATCCCACAAGAAAAATCCAATTAATAAGGTCAACTGCTGCCCTCTATCACAGATCAAACAGACACACTCCTCTTTTAATATCCTACTTCCTTTCCACATATCTCAGATGTTAATGAACCAAATCTCTCAGCAACCTCACTGCCAATTAGAAGCTACTCCTCTGAAGGGAGAGGAAAACAAAATCTGAACTCTGAAGTTCGGAAAAGCACATAGATAGACACAGAGCAGAAATCTACCTTTTGCCTCTAAGATGATGATTTTTCCTCCTCTTAATTGCTGCTTTCAGAAAACTTTGTTATCATGTAATTAACAAGTCACTTAAATTTAATAAAACAACAGCTGCTTTTCTGTGTTATTTTTAAGAGATATGCAAATTAAGACAGTTTGTTAAATTGCCTAATAAATACTGTAAACTCCACTCAATTTCCTTGTGGCAGCTGGAATAAAACTTTTAATAATCTAACATTTTCTACACTACAGATTTAGTTCCATTGTCATGAAAAAGTCTGTCTCCCAAACACTAGCAAAAGTATTCTCACCACATCATCACACACACACTTCTCAAAAAGGAAGCATTTCAACTAGAAATCTTTGGATGTACTTACTGAGATTGTACCATTGTCTAGACCTATGGACAGCCTTCTGGTTTCCGGGTTAAAAGACATGCATGAACATGGAGCTGAAAAAAATGAACATGTTGATGAAGTTAACAAAACTGTGATTTTCATTTTCTTGAAGTTCTGGAAAGCCTAAAATTAGCTAACATGCTTTATGATGCTGTGCAGCATTTTTAGCTTACCAATAGACAAGCATTAAAATAAAAGTGTACTTGCAATTCATTCAGCCCTATCCTATTAGGACATGGAAAAATAGCTATTTCTTGCTCCAGTTCCTTCATTTTTTTTCTTACTAATTATCTGTAAACAAGTCTTTCATATAACAGCAATGGTGCTGCTTTGATATGAAGCACTTGACATTTCACTATAAATCAGAGATTACTTAGGTGAATAATTTAGTTTTTTACATTTGCCTGAACTGTGCTGACAGTAAGACAAAACACTACGTTATGTCAGAGGCTTGCATCCTATACCTGCAGTAAGAAAATTCCCCAGTAGGAATCAACATATCAGCTAATATTAAGGACTGAGTTCAACTGTCCCCTACTCCAATTCCATCACAGACAGCACTACAACATTATCACATACTATGGTCAAAATAAAAGTTTGTATCTAAAACTAGCCATTGCTTGATTACATTGATATTACTCTAACATATATCAGAATTTATCCTGAAATTGCACACAAGATAGTCACAGTGTGCTCCCTCAAGAACGTGGCAGAGTTTGTATCAAGGGTTAAACAAGATCTCCTTGAAAGAATTCAAGAGCTGTGCTTGGTTTAATTGAAAAATAGTGAAGTTACATTCAGAATGCAGGAATTGCTTTTACTACCCAACACAGCAGCATGCAGCTGGGAATCCTGCTGTCCCAGCAGAAGCCTTCAGGAATTATGTTTCAGGAGCAATTGCCAACTGCAGCTAGGATAACAGTAAGAGTGCTTTATAAACCATATTCTTATGATAAATATAGAGTACAGTCAGATTCACTTTTAGTTCTGCTTTTCCCCCCTCCCCTTGGTTTCTACTCGCCCTTGTGATTGCTTGCACATTTGTGTTACTAACAGGCCTGGAGTCCTCTCTTTTGCAGTACTGCAATCCAGTATCTTCCCAATTTGTGTCATGTCTCTCTTAGGACTAAAGAGCCCATAGCTTAGCAAACCTTCCTTGATAGTTTAATTGGCAGCAAAGCTATATAAAGAGGAAGAGTCAATGTTGACTGTTTAAAATAAAATTTGTTCCACCTTCAGTATTGACTCCCTCTTGAAATGTTTCCTGAAGGACAAGTAACCATAAACAGAAAGCCCGTCAGATCCACATCTAGGCAGGCACTAGTTTATTTCTTTCCTGGAAAGGTTGACTGAATTGAATCAATGAAAAGGCTTCAGTTCAAGGAAACTGACAGAAAGGAAACAATTAAATCAGGCCTAGTAACAGTGACAAAATTGCTCCTTCCTGTACTTCTCCCTTAGAAAAGGCAAACTGGACTCATCCCTTCCAAAGGTGGTGCATTACTATTATACTGAGGCTTTTATGCCTGTAGCACAACAAGAGTTGTAGAAAAATATTGACAGAAAACTGTCCAATTCTAAGCATAATAAACACCAAATAAGTGTTAAAGTACTTAATGCCAGAACAGGCATATTACACAGCAGCTTTTAAATGCTGGACACTGTGCATACATAGAAAGAGCCACCAGAATCTCTGAAGGCAATGAGCAGCTCACAGAGAAGTTGTCTCAGGTAAATTAATTATTTGAAGTATGCTTTGCCCAAACACTTCAGAAGTATATGATGCAAGCAATTGCTTGACACGATCTGATTACAAAAGAAGTAACTTCTGAATTCCAGACCTATGTGTACACAGTCATAGCAGTGTAAAGATACTTATTTTGCTATAATAATTTTCCCAAGAGAACTCTTTAGTAACATGTGCACTTGGAAAAATCATTATGTCAGCACTGAAATTATGTCCATACCAGCTACACTGATATAATCCAGTCATGCCACTTGTACAAAGACTACAGCAGCTTGCTCTGGTAAAATTAAGACAATATTCAGGTACTTAAGCACTTAGACACATTAAAAAGAGGGGAAGAAAAAAAAAAGAAAAAATAAAACAAAAACCTGAAACCTTAAGCTTCTGAGATATTTAAGACCCTTTAAAAAACATATCTAGGACAAATAAAAGCACTCTGAAGATTCTCTACTCTAGTACCTAGCTATAATTTAGATTTCATACTGAAAAAAGATTGACCTGAACTACTATGGAGGACAAGCAAGATATTGCTGATGCAGAAGTCTGGATGCAGTCTTTGTCTTAAATATAGGGCAAAAACACACTGATTTTTGCTTTCAGAAAATGAAATATGGAGGAAAAGCCCAATTACATATTTCATACTCTCAAGAGTGTGTCACCTTTATTAGAGGCTGACAGAATCAGAGGAGAAATACAGACTTTGTCCCTGCAGTTTCTGGGACCCCCTTCTGAAGCACCTAAACATAACACAGTTTAAGACCAAAGGAGCATGTTTTGCATTGCAGTTTTTTTACCCTCCTGTTCAAAGTAAAGTGTTAGTTATGAAAACCATCATAAGACAAGCAGTGTATTATCTGCCTGAAAGACTGGATACTCCATTGTTCCCCAGTACAATAAATCCTTTACTCCATTCCACATCTGTAAAAGGAATTTTTGGTTGCATTTGGGTCTTTGTGTGTTTTAGTTTTGTTAATTTTTTAATTGGAAAAGTTTGCTTGACTCTTGACTACAATTTCTTTACCTTTCATAAATTTGTGTCTGTGAAGTTTTTTTTTTAATCCTATGCCCAAAGTGACAAATCTAACCATGGTGTAATCAAGAGTACACATCTAACCAGGGTTACATGTTCACAGAGGTCTGTTGTTAATCAGCTGTTGAGACAATGCTAGTGTGAAGGAAATGGATTAGCAAGGTTTCAGCTTTTCTTTCTCATGGGCTAGAGATGATGATCAAAACTATGGCAAATGTGTTGCTCAGAATTTTTTGACCATAGAATCACCCACAGGCAGGACATAAAACTTTCTCAGTTAGGAGAAATCCTACCTCTAAAACTCAGAAGAGATCTATAATCTTGACCCTTTTTTACCATTAGGTATTTAATGACTTTCACATTCAGAATGCATTGATGACCCTGTTTGGGTGCAGAACTTGACCAAAGCACATCACTGAGTCAACCCAACTCTTCATCCTTCTCATTTCCCAGAGGACCTAGTCTGCAAGCTCAGTTATTAAGGCTACCTGAGATCAAATAATAAAATAGATTGGGTCACACATCATCACAGTCAGTCACAAGCCATGTTAATGGGATATCTATAGATAGGACTGCCACTCACAGCTTGCTAAGTAGCACAAAGGCACCATTGCAGTCATTGTTCTTTAAACAACAAAACCCAGTATGAGCCTAAAGCAGAGCACCATCAAAAAGGTGATCAACACAGAAACAGACAAAAACATTTCCAGTCAAGTGCAGACTTGTGCAGATTCTGACTCAGAGCCCTTTCTATGATTTCCAAGCTTAAAGGCATAATTGATTGTAATTGCTTCAGTTGTTAATTATACCTGATGATTCTTGAAATTGTTGAATAACACAATATAATTTCAGTATCTCATGTCTCAAAAGCTTATCAGCCTTTGAAGTGAAGGAGTACTGTCAAGTGTTCAAATTTATGAAGGAGCTTTGAAATAGTCCCCCTGTAGTGGAACTGAATCTACTCCATCATTTCCACTGAAGCTGTTGTTACTGGCAATAACACAGCTTTGCTAAGTCCAGAGGAGAACCTATTGAGATTCAAAACTACCACATGAAAAAAAAGAGAAGTATCAATGCGAAATAGCTAGAAAGGCCATTTCATATCAGTTTGCCTGGGAAAAGCAAACCTCTTAGGATAGGTCAAAGAAACTCAGGCCACTGCTAGTGATCATGACAGAGCTCCACAGACTGCCATATCATTAGCTAGTTCCCAATACCTTCTTGGGCAAAATCTTGAGCAGAAAGTACCTTTGAGGATTGACATGTTCTTATGAGCTAGTCCATCACCAAAGGAAGATGAGGGGTCCTCTTCTCTACCAAATTGTTTTCTTAAAGCAGACAAACACAATGGCTGCCCTAGAGTCCCAAACTGATGGTTTTGTACTAAAATTTACACCTATTAAATATTTTAGTTATCATGGAGACAAATGTCTCTTCCAAATCTACCTATCTTAGCTTAAAATAATCCTTTCTCCAGACAGTATGAATACCTCCATGAGACCTGATACATGCTCCCAAATCTGGATTTAAGGTCAGCTTTACAAGCTTTCCAAAGACAGGCTAACCCAGCACATCTGATTGAAGCTGACTGAAGAGCATTAGCATTTGCCTGCCTCTGATGACCTACAAAATTATATTCTTGCACTCAACACAGGAGTTACAGCAAACAGCAAGAGCTGTCATTTCTTCAACTCTCTCTTGGAAAAATGGACATTGATCTGCAGTTTCTCAAAGCATGAACACTCTCTTTGGGAGAGGAGACATAATGGAAGGATCCATCAGGGAAATTTGGTTTTCCACATTTAATTGCAGAGGTAAAATAATTCTGCTTCTAAACTGGAAGAGTTGCCTTCCCTGTCTGGTATCCTCTCTATCATATTAGCTGCCACGGAATATTAAGTTCTTACCAAATAAAACCATTTACCATTGCACTCTAATGGACCGAGCACACACAGTAGGAAGGACAGAGTGATTTATACCGGAGACTCACAAAGCTTTATGGACTCCATTAGGGGCAAGAATGAAAGACTACGTTTTGAGCTCCCACGTTTTAAAACCCATGTTTGCATTAAATACTCATCCCTTGCTAACATGTCTGTATCCTTTTACTGCTGATGCCTCTTAGAAGCATTAGCATGTAACTTTGTAAAGCTTCACTGGTACCAAGAGGATTGTTCAAGAATAACATTCGATACAGAGATGTAAGCTTGCAAAAAGGTCAATAAGCGTGAAGCTTCATCAAAATAGCTTTGCAAATCCACAGTAGATATTGAACAGGTCCTAATACTTACATGGCATTGCATGGTATATGCTGGGCCAGTACTGCCCACTGTCTCTCTTCAGCCAGACACGAACTGTCCTGTAAAAGAAAAAACACAACACACATGTGAGGAAGAATTAAAAAAATAATCATGACTGAATGAAAGCAAAGTGGTCATGATGAATGTACAAGACATTCTTCAAAATTAAATTATTTTGCTGAGAGGGAAAGTAAACCTGTGAACTCCTGCTGCCGCCTGATACATCAGCCTCAGATTAACCCCTGTAGGGTGATGAGGGTAGACCACTCCTTGGTTCCATGTAGTATTCAACATCTTGGCTGAACATATCTCAACACTATTTGGAAACTGCTATGGCTTTTAGTTCTTTGCCTTTACAAAGACTTGAACATGACTGTTCATGCAACACTTTACGTGAGAATTTGGGACACCACAGGTAGCCCAGTAGAGCATTCCTGTATCAGAGCTTCCATCTCTGCAGGAGCCTTCCCCCTGCTCTCAGGGTAGGCCTTGGCCCATCTGCTGCTGCTGTTTCATTGCTCTGCTTCAGGAAAACCTTTAAGAAAAAGAAGGAGATTCTGAAATTTTCAGTTGCTTATTACTAAGATTATGACAATTTGTGCCAAAAATGACCTCTTCAGCTTCAGGACCTTTCCCTCTCCTCCCTGTAAACAGAGTGCTATTAGAAGAAGCCACTGAGCCAGGAAGAGCCAGACAGAAGAAGCCAAACTCTTCTCCTTCTTTGAAGAGAATGACCAATGTGACAAGCAGCCTTGCAGGTCTCTTCTGCCTCATCAGTTTGGAGTTGCTGTCTTTGACTAGAGGCACTTAGAATCACACAGTGCTCTCTACAAACTCTACAAATCTACAGTGCTCTCTCCTTTCTACTAGAAGATCTTCCCAATGTACCTCAGGATTACTTTTGCTTTCTCATAATCATATTATACTGTCAGATCTCTGTTACTCAATCCATGCCCTTCAGACATTTGAGACATTTGTTGCTTGTTTCCACAGCAGAGAATCTGGACTGATGCACTATCTGGGTCATTAAATATTTATTATTTCAGCCCTCATTGTCATTTGCTTGTTTTGGTCCAGTCTCTAAAGCCTCCTTGTAATTAAAACTCTCTCTTAACTTCAGTTAATCAGTTAATTTCATCAAAACATGTCTAGTAACACTGTCAACAGTTAAAACCACATTAACCTCTTGCTTGTTTCTGCATAGCCCACTGTCACTTCACTTATAGCCACCTGTTACCTCCCCTGCTGTTCTGCTAGTCTTTATAGCTAATTCTAACTAGAATACTTTTCATATAATACTGTATTCATGCTTTATTGATTTATATTGAAATTATTAAGCTTCTCTAGAAAACATAGCTATCCAAGTCAGCAACATGTTAGCATAGCATAATAGATTTTGACCCATCACCCACTTCTTTTTAGTCTTTTCCATCAAAATTACTATGCAACAGCAGATGCAGGAGGGACCTAAAAAACTATTGTTTCTATAACTTGTACTTGATACTATTAAGGAAAAAGAAACAAGCAAGAATGGCTCTTTCCAGTACATGAAGCATGGAAATATAGCTTATGGAAAAAAACAGCACAATAATTTCTACTGTTACCTCATTTTATTCAAAAAGAAGATTGCAGCCCTCTAGTACAAGTTCAAAGCAGTATCATAATACAAGAAAACAAGAAACACATGAAATATATCATAATATAATATAAATTGATCTAAGGCATTACATACACAAATATAGCCTGATTTGAGATGCCATGCATAATAAAGCAATTCAAAAACCAGTAATCTACCCTTCAAACTTCAAACCAAAGGCTGCACCACCTTGTCTTCTTGTAGTGCATATGTCCAAAATCAAGTTTCTGCTCATCTTACCCTGTATTCAAACTCCTTTTACAGCAAATAATTCTGAGACTTTGTATATTTGGGCACTACCCAAGCTGAATCATTGTAGGGATATCTCAAGCACACACTTTGACAGGTATGTTGCTCTAAAAGCTAACACTTCACTGGGTTAACAAGTCCCAAAGTTAGAAAGCTCTCACAAATTACTCAAAACACGTAACATTCATTATAATTATCTCCTAAGTCTAATGGCCTTTTTGTGCTGAAGACAGCAGCAACTCTGAAGCAAAGCCGCCAAAACTTTTTATAAGGCACAATTTACCAGCCAGTAACAACACTGACATATCTTTGATCATGAGAGGGACAGACAAATCCTTCTGTCATTTCTCCCTGTGACAACAGCTGTTGACCAGAAGCACTAGAAGCACATCAACCACTCTGTTTCCCAAATGTGTTCGTCCTTGTTATTGTGGGAATGACTGATCGTGCACAAAAAAATAATGCGATGAATCACAGGGAGCCAAAATAACTGAATATGAAACTACCCTGAGGAAATGCACCTGTGAGAGACCTGTCTTTCTTGACCATCCCAGTCTAGGTATTCGAGGGCTATCTGTTTCACAATCCCCAGGCTTCAACAACATTGCCTTTCCTCTCCACTCTAGGACTTTAGAAAATAATAAACATCTTAATGTCCAACATCTTAAAAATAATTCAGCTTGCTAGGAAACGACTGTGTAGAACAACAGATCTTTCAAAAGTTGCAGGAAATAAAAATTAATTTTATGTGCAAAAATGGCAATAATTTGAATTCTTTGGATTGGTCTTGTCATTGTTTATTAAACTGCACCCACTGCAGAATTACTAATCAATTTGACAATTACAACAATTTTAAGACTTTTAGACGAATGATAATGAAGCAAAACATATTTTCTAGTAAAGCTTAAAACAAACAAGGAAAAAAAACTGTAGGAGGTTGTGTTAAGAGTGAAACTACTTTTACTAATATAGGCCTTTTCAATAGGTACACAGTATGCTCATTTTTTTGGGCAGTCAACTATATTTCCATTCAAGGACTAAATCATGTAACTAAATGAGAACTAAGTGAGAAACAAAACATTCTAAGAATAAAATTACTATGAAAAGATGTCATCTAACTGTAAGGTGTGTGAAAAGGAACATAACCAGCAAGTCAGTTCATGTAACTCTTTAGAGAAATAAGTATCACCTGAGCAAATTATTTGAACTAAAAGATCTTGTAAACAATTTATTTTAAAATTAAGGATGATTACTATGCATGTCATGAAAGCAAACATTTAAAATTTATATTAAGAATTATAATAGAATTCCAATATCTATTATAAGCTCATGTAGAAGCATGAAAATTATTCTTTATGTCAGGAAATGATGACTCAGAATTTTCTTAAGTCCACTGAAATAGATAAAACATTTCATTGAAAGAAGGAAAACCAACTTCAGTTCAGCAACCTTTTCTAGGTAACACGTCCTCAAAGTAGATTTGGGCTAAAGAACAAACCATACCAACTATTCAATTTGGGAGAAGCCAAATGTTCTTGTTTTTCAGCTGAAGTTCCACACATTTCTGTATAGTTTTTTACAGAATACTACCCATTAGATGTGAAACCCAGAGCTTTTGCAGCTTCTAAAGAATGCAAAGAAAAAAAATCCAAGCATGCATGAAAATAAGCTTTTTTATGGATATTCAGCATGAGGAGTACTTGCTGCTTGCATGGCTACTGGACTTAAACAGCACCCACTCTGGTCAGGATTCATTCTTCAGCTGCTCTAGAGTGATTCAGTCAGCATCACCATGGAAATGAGTTGTCCCTTCATTTTGCTGCCAGCAAATTGACTTGGAAAGATTTTTAGAAGCTGTCAAATCAATGGATATTCTTCTAGTCTTTTCATAACAGAGATGATTTATTTTTAAATGAGACAGGCTATACAGAAATAATTCTGCCATACAAAAGACAGGCTATGTCTTCATCTATTAAGAGGATGTGAAAATTTACTATTTTAAAAGAAAAATTGTTTCTCTCTGTTATGATGAAGAGAATGTGCCACAGGTCCAGGTGGCTGTGGATGTACCAGCAGGTCTCAAGCACACTGCCAGTCTGTGCAGGAGGTGGGCTTCACTTGAGCACCTACTACTCATGGAGGTGCCCATGTCAACAGCAGCACGTCCAGCTCAGAGCATGGCAGCTCTGTGCGTCACCATCTACAGACACTTATTCAGTCACTGGTATCTCATTTAGGATAAAAACTGTTTGCTCGTACAAACCCAACTTTGTGCATCTAGGCTGCAGTGTGCCTGCAGTGAAAATCTGCACAATGCTGCCAGGTTGGATGTGAGATTCTCTATCCCTACTCTGGCCTGAGCAGTCACTTCACTGCTGGAAAACTCAGCGCCGCTTGCAGTGTCAGAGTTGAGTTTCTGTGAGTGACTCATAGCAGGGCTCCTGTCTTTTCTCCTTTGTGCCTTGCATGAAATTAAGGCAAAAGACAAACACTGGTGTTGCATACAGTACAGACATACTGATGTGCCAAAGCACTGGCCCGAGATGTTTGTATGTTGCAATACTGGGAAATCTGTGGTAGGGAGACCCACTGCCTCAAGAAACAAGATCCCTATAACACTCCACTTCTCCAGAATATCCATAAACCCACCAGTTCTAGTTTAACAATTTGAGTGAGGAAGTCTAATACATCTGTTTCCCACAATGGAAACTCCTTCCTTTCCTGTTCATTTTTTTCCTTTCTCACTCCTGTCTTTTTAAAAGTTCCCTTTGCTGAGATGCACTTCTAAAACATTATCACCTTCATGCACCAGACATACACCAGAGTATAACAGAGCAGAGGTAATCCTCAACACATACAATTTACTACGTTAATTCATAGGTATTCTTGGGCTTCAGGAAATTGTTTTAAATGGTATTTTAATGTATTCCTTATTGTTTGTATCTTGGACCATATACTGCAGGATTATTTTATCTCTTGTTTTGCTGAGTGACCAAAAACAGTAAGCATCAAATGAAGTGTGAAATAATTTTTAAGTTTTCATTTTATTATTTTATAGGTTTGTTCTTATTTGTAGTGAGGACACAAATTACAGGTGTACAAAAACTTTTATCTGTCATTTTCTAAAGTCATCAGGCTTATTCAGAGACCCTTTGCACATTAACGTTCCTTGGG